GTGCCAATGTCATACTATGTTTACGACACGAGTGCCTAAATTTTGGTATTTCCCGAGCGAGAGCGAGGGATATACCGATGTTTAGGCACGAGTGTCGTAAACATATACTCAGCAGCAAAAAAAACGTCAGTACGAATTCAAACTTAGATAGGCACTTTAATCAAATCATTACAGAAATGGACATGATAAGCGGATCATAAACATTTTTGTGTACAAAATCTTGACACATCAATGAATAACTCAGCACAATTTCAAGACATTATACGTGAACGTTTTCAGTCCATTCAGACTCGTGACTTCAGTATCTAGTGTGACCACCACGAGCGGCAATAACTGCAGCACAGCGTCTATGCATGGGGTGCACCAATCGATTGATGAAGGCCATTGGCACCTGGAACCACACTCTGGGAAAGGCCTGGCGCAATAAATCGGCTGTGTTCGGCCTTGGTATGACATTATTCAGTCTCCTCTGAAATTCATCCAAAAGATGTTCAATTGGATTTAAATCAGGACTAAGGGCTGGCCATTGCATAATGTTGACACCATTCTGCTGTAGGAAGTCCCGTGTAGCTCTGGCAGTATGGGCCCGGGCGTTATCATGCTGGAAAATGTTGTTCCGGTGACGTGGGAAATGTGGTATGACGTGAGGTCTGAGAGCTTGGTCGATGTAGCGCACCGCTGTGATGCCGCATCTTCTCCCTGGTCCAAGGTTCTGGAACACCACAGGACCCACTCTCTGGTTCAGGCCTATTCCACCCCATACCATGATGCTTGCACCTCCCTATGAGTCTCTTTCCATAACACATTGGTCTGAGTAACGCTGGCCACGTCGTCGCCATATTCTTGTTCTGCCATCTGCAGTTGATACGCAGTACCGACTCTCATCTGTGAACAGAACAGTTCTCCATTGCCTGTATCGCCAGTTTTGGTGTTGTAGCGCAAACTGTAGACGTTCACGCCGATGACGAGGGGTGAGGATAGGTCCACGGTAAGGTCTACGGCAATGGTGGTTCCCGCTGTTAAGTTTTTTGGCGTACTGTATCAGTGCTGATTGGTCTTCCGTGTGTTCCCACTGTCTGGCGTGCTTTTTCGGTGGCCTGCATGAAGGGATTCTGTGCATGCTGTCGCACAACATGGCGGTCTTGTCGTCATGTGGTCACCCTTGGTCTGCCAGTACGAGGGCGATCATTTGTGGTGTACTGTAGATGGTCCGAACGTTGACCTGGAAGTGATTGGCAACGGCTTGTGCAGTGTGGCCTGCTTCAAGTCTTCCTAGCGCCTGGTTCGTCTGAGCTGTCGTAAGTCGCGGCATCCTGCTGACGTTGTTATGTGAATATTTCAACCAGGTTTGGGGGGGTACATTTTATAGGACTGGTCCTTGTGAGCAGCACGTGCAGCATGAGTTGCATGAAACACATGGAGAACACCTTACCATCTCCGAGATCAGGTTGCGTTTTTGACATCATTTCCTGGGTTCCATTCTGAGTTTGGGAAGGAATGTCTTGGCTCCGGTAAAGTGGGAAATGTTGTCAAAAATATATACTGAACAGCGAAAGAAACGCAAGTTTCGAAAAAAAAGGAAATTTCATGAAGGTAAGCGTTCATGTTTATGGAACGCTCATGGTAAAGTGACGTCATGATCCCAGATGAGATGATGTCATGCAATTTGACGTCCATACGAACCATTCGCACAAACACACCAACAGTGCAGCAAAACCATAATTTTAGCACGTGCGTCGACGGTTCTGGATGGAAAGCATGCATTTCACTCTGAGGTATTCTTTATAAAGGTTTGTGTCAAAAAACAGTTCAGTATTGACGCTAGGAGGTGTACACGCCACACAAACGATGCCTAGACTAACGACTGAGCAGAGGGGAGTGGCCATTGGAAAGTTGCACGGAGGTAGCTCTGCAACCGCTGTAGCTAGGCAATTGGGCTGTCATCTGACCACATTACACGACTTGCTCAACGTCATCAGCAAACCGGGGTTGCTGCTGATCGTCCCCGTACCGGACGGCAACGAGTGACAACTCATACGCAAGATCGGTTCATCCGGGTCGCTCATCTAAAGAACCGAACTCAAGCAGAAACAGTAACAGCAGCCTTAGTTCTTGGGTCAAGTGGAGCAGTGTCCAGCGATACGATTAGGCGTCGTCTTCGGGCTGCTGGAATCCACTGCCGACGGCCATATGTGGGGCCAGTTTTGACACGTCAACAACGCCAGCAGCCCTCACACAGCAATGGGTGTTGATGGATCATCTGGCTCAGAACAACGTTAACATTTTTCCATGGCCGTCTCTTCCCCGGATATGGCTCCCTTTGAACATTCTGGGACGAAATTGGACGGAGGATTGGGGCAGGCAGGTAGACAGCCACTCACACTTGCACAATTGGAATACAGATTGGTGTTTGAGCGGAACCAGTTGCCTCAGGCAGTCTTTCAGACTCTAGTGAACTCAATGAGGCCACGTTGCACGGCCTGTGTGCAAGGTAAAGGTGGCTATACGCGCTACTAAAGAGACTGTCACTTTTCGCGTTCAGGGGTATCTCCATTTGACGGACTGTGATCAATTTGAACTTATTGCAATTCAATGTCAACAGCAACTTTCAACTGTTAAATTGACAGTGTTTTCTATAGAATAAATGATTAGACATGATTTTGGTTGTCTTCTATTTAAAAACTTGACAAACAGCCAGACTTGCTTTACTTTTGCTGTTCAGTATACAATCAAAACATTAAATGAGTGTACAGTTATCCGTTTCTGCGAAGGAAAATTCCAAACTGACGTTTCTTTTCCTGCTTATAGAGATTATTACAAGAGCAAGTGTGTCATACGACTTATACGAAACGAGTGTGAAATTTTGTACTGCCCGAGTGAGAGCGAGGGCAATACACAATTTTGCACAAGTTTCGTATAAGTCGTGTGGCACACTTGCGAGTGTAATAATTTCTTTATTATCCATTTTATTCATGTACATTTGTGCAGTAAAACACGGTAAGCAAGTGTGACAGCCCTGTTCATTGACGTCACGTTCAATTGTTTAATGACGTCACAGACGATGATATACGGAATTATAGCTAAAATACATGGAATTATCATGAAACGGCCCTCCTGTTATCAGAAATTTGCGGTCCGCTGCAAATGATATTGGACCGCTCAACCTTAACGACGGGCCACTATCAGTTCTGTTGTCAAGTGACGTCATAGTTCGACATTAGTGGCTTTCGACTGGCAGATATTCTGGGTCAAACAAGTCAAAGCAACCCAAATTCCCGCTTTAAATAGCGGTAATATTGGCTTTCTTGTTGGTGCTAACCTTAACAATTGCACTATTAAGACTGTTGATGGACCAAAACCGAACACTGTCATAGCTTGTCATGTTGCAGGCTATGGTCTTGTCAAAGGCCAAGGTCGAATATCGTCATTTTCTGTTGTGACGTCACTTGAATTGTTCGATGACGTAATTGCATTCGGGCAGTCAAGCCCGTAAGAAGTTGGTTTTGGGTAAACTTACAGTCAAATTCCTTCATTGTTTCCTTTTTCTTTTCAACACAAATTCCATGTATTTTAGCAATAATAACGGTAATGCTATTTTTGAGGGCATTATCATTTGCAGAAGCCCTCGGTCTTTATCAACTGCCTTCCTTTACCTTATAATAGTGGTTGCTAGGCTAAAGTGATATGTGCACATGTGCACATGTGCACATATGATATTTATGACACTGGCTATGTTTCACCATATTGATATAATCCTTAATTTCACAAGTTTTGGGGATAATTTACATTTTTGCGGGGTTATTTTTATTTGAGTGAGTTTAGTTTTACGCCGCACTCAGCAATATTCCAGCTATATGGCGGCGGTCTGTAAATAATCGAGTCTGGAACAGACATATTTTTACTTGAAGTGGATATTGACGGTGATCTTAACACTAATGTGAACACTACCGTCTGACGGAGCAGCCACTGTGCACGATGGCGTTAACATGACGGTTGTAACAGTTTTCGGTAATTTTGCCGGGACACTCTGCACACTCTTCGGCGTAAGGATTCTCAATGTACTCACAGGTACTTGTTATGTCTTCGTCACAGCTTGAATTCATCATAACGCCCATATCCAGTCCTATGAAGATGAAGGCGAGGTGAAAGCCACAATAACTCGGTGTGCCTAGTGGCTGCAAGAGTTGTATAGTCCCCAGGGAGTTGAGATTGATAATACGATGTGCCGTTGAGATTGACATCCAGTGATCGAGGGGACAAATACCAGCGCCTTGAGCATGGACTAGTTCCCTGGATATGTGCGCTATATAAATATCCTATGATGATGATGATGATGATGATGATGATGTCACTGTCAAATACGTGTGTGTCCCCTGACCAAAGCGGCGATACGCATGCGCGTGTAGTGACGTATTCTGAAAACAAATAATCACTCATGTTAAATGGCCCAAGCAAAACCAATAGCAGCCCGAAACAAGAATAATTACTCGTTAAGAATTTGAGGTAGTTCGAAATGCACGTGCAGCATGAAAGACATGCTGGCCAGCGTCAGACTTCAGTGGCTTTAATGAGGAAAGCCTACAGTCCGTTTGTCTCAAAAGCGGACCGATGAATTGCAATCTGACTCGAAAACTAATAAACATAACATACTCAATGAAACGCTGATCATAATCAAAACATCATACCAACTCTGTGAGATTTTTGCAGAATTTTTGCCCTAAAAATAATAAAGTTGTTTAACAATCTATCATTAAAATATTGACACAGTTCACTGTTTGTTACGAGGGAGGAGTGCAGAAAAAGGGACAGCCAGGTGTTCGAGAAGCACGTGCACAGACAAAGTTATTTATTCATTAACCTGTGCTGTGCCGTCTCCATACGTTCTCGAACACCTGGCTGTCCCTTTCTGGTGGTTAAAGCGTTCGCTGGTCACGCCGAATTCGAAGACCTGGGTTCGATTCCGCTCATGGGTACAATGTGTGAAGCCCAATTCTGGTGTCCCCCGCCGTGATATTACCGGAATATTGCTAAAAGCGGGGTAAATCAATACTCACTCACCTACAAAGCATTAAATAGCAATGTCTGGGATAACTCTTAATAATATAACCCAACATTGTATAACCTTGTGATACCATGCTGATACGTATACATTCTAAAGTATTGTCGGAAATGCTAGAAAAATGCCTTTTGACTTATATTTAAAATTCAGAGGTATTACAGTTACTTAAATAACAAATACCACTTTAAGAAACATCTACCAAATGTAGTCCGAGGGAATAAATTTTGAGACATGCCCTAAAATGTGTTTTTACTGATGAAAATACCAAAATCTTAGAAAAATAAGGGGTAAGGGGACGTTATTTGATACAAACATTAACTGCCTGTGTTACGTCATCAGCATGCACGGTATCGACAGGTGAAATTGACACCTGAGCACACGCTCGGGCGAGGAGTCATCTCAATAGATGTTTTCTTCAAAATGTTGAATATGTGTACGCATAGTATACGTATTGGTTATGTGAGGGATCATTTGTGTATGTGTGTTTGTTGTGAAATAAACATACGAATTACTGTACATTGGAAAGAATCCTATCACTTGTGTTATCTTATCGACTGATTGTAGAAATGTGCAACGTTTTGATAAATGTTTTGCATGTCAACAGTATATTTCATTGCAAAAATATGGATGTAATTCGGTCAGTTTAATCTAGTTGTGAACATTGCCAAAGATTTAACGAAGTCACTGGTGTAGCTTCTTTAGAATATATATATACTCTTCTTCTCCTAAAGTTTGTAGACCGCCCGTCTAAGTACTCCCTTGTCAAAGTTGTCAAGGATGGTTTTACGTCCCGGTTATGCTATTGAGACGGTCTCTGTCTTGTCTGATTTGTTTACAATATTGTAAACTTATTGGTAAGACATACCAACAGCTCTACAAGTTCTGTAATAAACCCTTTCTAAACTAATGAAAGGTTTACCTCTGTCTTTTTCAAGCACAAAAAACTTATAAACCTTTGCAACAATTGACTGCAAATAGTTGGCCACAGTGGACGCTGTGATAAAGATGTGCATGCATGACGGGAAACTTATTTATCAAGACTTAACATTTATATTTATATTTCTTCAATAAAGAAACGATAATTAAGTAAAGTAACACAAGCATTCAACATTTATTTGTTTAAAACAAACGTTAATTCATATTTTTACACCACCTGTATTATTAGCATAATGTAAAGACTATTTCAGATTTCTGTTGTTGAACTCTGAAAAAATCTTAAGTTGTTGTTTTGGTACCAAATTCTCTTCTGTAAACTGCCCTTTTAATGCATGGGGATGTTAAATCAATTGAAATAAAAATTAGGTACACTATAGGTGAGTTGATATATTGACAACATGGTACATTTATCACCTTTCTAAAGATATTAAGGCTAAAAAGCATTTTTCTAGCATTTCCGACAGTACTTTAGATACCTAACTAAGAGTATAACAATCAGGTGATTTTTGTTCAGTTTTTGAACATATCCTGATGTTGTTTCAGTACCAGTGGGAGCACATGAACGGCAGGTGTGGGCTGTGCGGTGACCCTTATGATCAACGACCTCGACCTCACGAAGCTGGAGGCAAATACGCCAAGGGTATCGTGACCGAGACCTATCTCCAAGGGCAGATAATCAACGTGAAGATCGAGGTGACCGCTAATCACGGTGGCGTCTTCGCGTTCCGCCTCTGCCCTCTGCTGTGGTACATGGGGGAAGCCAATGAGCCGTGCTTTGAGCGCAACAAACTCCTTCTCGCTGACAGCAGTACCGAGTTCATCATCCCCCCTCCCGCTGTCGCCAAGGTGTACACCATCCCCCTAGTGCTCCCGAGAGGCGTCATTTGTACCAGGTGTGTCATACAGTGGAAGTGGACCACAGGTGAGAAACAACAGCAGAGAAATAAAAAACACTTTGTACTGAATTTAGCACATTAGAAACTGTCTCCAATATTTACAGATTGATAAGATGCCAAAAAAGACTTGACTTGTAAACGATACTCAACTTAGCAAAGTTTGTTTAAAAATATTTTGCTTCTAACAAAAGTTAGTCCTTTATTAAATCTATATAAATGTGTTGTGTAAGTGATTACATCCGGGTCTGTTTCTGTGGGTATCGCTATATAACGATAGTCCCTGAACCACTTCAGTTTCCCTACTGTCTAGCCCTACATGCAATGCTAAAGCCCCAAAATGAAGCAAGTCTGATTTCCCATCTCACTGGGACCCCTTTCCAATTTAAATGGGTTTATTTGTTACTATCAAAGTTATAAATATTCAGAGACTAAGCGTTAGTCTACCAGATTTCTTACGGATCTGTTTCTACGGGCACCGCTATAACGCCTGTTTGGTGTTGCAGCCAACTCGTGGGGATGTGACGACAACACTGACTGCTGCATTGGTTGCGGGCCCCAGGAGCAGTTTGTCAACTGTGCAGACATCGCCGTCATTCCCGCCAGGAGGGGGCAACGATTCCTACCCCCGAGGCCAGTAAAGCCTGCCCCTAAACCCGTGCTTCAGAGGGACAAGAAGGTCGTTGTCTTCGGCTCTGACGGTAAACCTGTGCCCGACTCAGTTGACACCAAACCAGTCCCTGTCCACAGTCAATACCAACAGAATCCGCGTTCATGGCCTCCACCGGCGAGAATGCAGCCCCCGTACAGACCCCCTGGGCCCGGTCTACCGCACGTGTATAACTCGTACATCCCCAAACGGCCTCAGCTTCAGTCGCCCCAGACTGGTTTGTCAAATCAATACATGGGACCATCATACAGTTCCAGAACAGCTCCCCTGGCGCAACCTCCTCCTCAACCTGCCTCTCCATCAGTGTACAATGCATACATCCCCAAAGCGGAAACAGCCCAGTCGCGTCACATGGGGCAACCTTATAGTTCAAGACCTGTATTGAAACCTAAGGTGTCTGAGCCCTCTGACAGAACAGCCCCTGCAGATTCTCCTATCGCTGAAACCGGATACGGAAGTCCGAAGGCAATATCCGAGTCCGATGTACAGAGTACCCTTTTAAGTCAGCTTGCATCTCTCATGAGAAGTGGGAAACCGCCGAGCTGCCATCCTAAATTCCCGTCTCTCAACGTGGATTGCAACAGAAACTGTTCGCCGAATGGGAATCACTGTGTCGCTAGGAAAGCCTCCGAGTCTCTCAACACTGCCTGCATGTTATTGTGTGCCGTCGCCGTGTGACGCCTGCAGGGTGAACCAGCAGATATGTGTGTATATATGTGACATAACGATTGTTGCAATGATTGGACCCATTACAAAAGCACTTGTCCAGCGATGAGTGTCAGTTATTGCTGGTATATATCTGTATATATGTATATGTTTTTATCCCATAAATACTTCATCCGCAAGATGAATGGATTGCGAGGTGCGTCTTGCAGAATAGGGCAGAAGTCAGAGTCCGGTATCAGATCTACTCACAAAACTGATGTTGGTCCACTGAGTACATCAATGATTTATAAACTGTATATCCATCAGGATTGACAAACCATGTTATGATGTATTTTCAACAATCCATGCTTCACGTGACTATTTATCCAGTAATTTGTACAGACGTCTCCACTGGGTTTATTCCGTAACCTACCTTCCACAGCTGCGGTGACTCTGAGAGTGTGGGTTCCTGGGCGGGACTCAACCAAAGAAAAGTACTGGAATCTGTACTCTACCGAGAAAGTGTAATATTAACGGAAATAAGAAAAATAAAGTTGCCTTAGTAACATTACTTTAGTTTATATGTGGAAATACTGAAAAATATCCCACCAAACAAAAATAAACCGACGAGCTGATTGTGAACGTGTTATGACCTAAAATGTCTGTAAAATTAATTTCGGGCCTGTGTATCTTATGTGTCCACCATGTTGGGCGCTACCTTCACACCGTGTTGGCGTTCTGTAGATTAACTTTGTATGGTTGCCTTTAAACTTTGCCCGCCATTCCGTCCTGAAGAGCTGTTCCAAGCTGACCACCTTGGCGGTTGCAATTGCAGGGCGTATTTTGCAGGAGTGAAACGGTACGTCTTTACCACCGTACGGTACGTATTGCGGTACAAGGCCTTCGGTTTGGTATATGAGATATGATCATAATGCAGAAAATTGACGGCAAGAGCCTAACCTTGAGATTGTTTAATATCATGGAAAAAATAACCATAATCTTTGTTATTTTGATTCAACAAAACTGTCATTTTATGACTAGATACAACAGACGAAAACCGGAAATAGGTTTGGATTGCAGTGTTCTACTAATACCGCGGTATACCGTTTCACCCCTAATCTTATCCCTCAAGGTCATACCACAGATGTTCTGATGGGGTCATGTCAGGAGATGTAATGGATCCAGTCCAATGTCTGCATGTCTTCTCGTTGGAGGCAACCGCTGACAAGCTGGACACGCTGTGATTTAGCATTGCTCCTTGCAGTGTCAAATTTCAGCCGAAAATTCTTGTGAAAGAAACACATCGAGTCAACATATCACTGGCGAGTCAAACGTCCAATCACAGTTGCCAAATCAGTTCACCTGTCACACTGCTCCACACCATGACACTTCTGGCCCATCATGGTCAAGAATCCTTGTTGTGGCATACCGGTATGTTCTCTATTCGCCTACAATTTTAAAACAACATTTCATGGTCTGTTGACTGTTTATTACGCAATGGTAAATTGTGGCACCCCTATGATCTAAAAGTGGACTCTTCTAGTTGAAGTAGTTGAAGGACAAAAAGACAGTATATTAAAGAATTTATAAATGTTTCTGTTACTTGTCATTTTCTGATCACAATGAAATGATGATTTAGTTTTCATATATCACATCATATCACATCATATCACATCATATCACATATATCACATCATATCTCATCATATCACATCATATCACATCATATCACATCATATCACATCATATCACATCATATCACATATATCACATCATATCACATATATCACATCATATCACATCATATCACATCTATCACATCAAGCCTAGTGGTTAAAGCGTTGGCTCGTCACGCCGAAGACCCGGGCTCGATTCCCCACATGGGCACAATGTGTTAAGCCCATTTCTGGTGTCCCCCGCCGTGATATTGCTGGAATATTGCTAAAAGCGGCGTAAAACTAAACTCAGTCAGTCAGTCTATCACATCATATCACATATATCACATCATATCACATCATATCACATCTATCACATCATATCACATATCACATCATATCACATATATCACATCATATCACATCATATCACATCTATCACATCATATCACATCATATCACATATCACATCATATCACATCATATCACATCATATCATATCTATCACATCATATCACATCATATCACATCATATCATATCATATCATATCATATCATATCATATCATATCACATCATATCACATCATATCACATCATATCATATCATATCGCATCATATCACATCATATCACACCATATCACATCAGTATTGAGAAAGTTCACTTGTGGGGATGTCCATTCTCACTTCAACATGCTTAGCGGGCCAGCCGCGTCGAGGAAAAAGCAAGTTGCTCGCGAAGTCTATCCAAGCGACTCTCTAGGTTTTACTTCTTTGAGTGGCATTTTAGAAGTTTGAAGTCAGATAGAGCAAGTATATATGGATGACAACGACGGCACGACGTTTCGATACAGGTTCTTGTATTGTTTTCAAGTATGAATGGTACAGGGAGAGAACAGGTGATATATGTACATGAAGACTAATTAACAAGGTAAGGCGGAATAACAATGTGATGATAACAAATAAATGGATAACAGAGGATTACAGGGATAGACATGGAGGCTAGTTTCTCTCTCCTTTCCCAATATAGCCTCAATCAAAAGTGTTAAGTCTCTGTTCGGCCCGACTTGGCCCGGGCTGTCAAAAAACAACTTAGGCCTTACGCATGTATCGTAATTTGTGTTTATATCCATAGATTAGTATTATATCTACTTAAATACTTCTTTATAGAGTTTCAAAGCGTAGTATTTGAAGCAAACACGTTGCTCAAAGTGCAGCACTCTTTTCTATAGTCTCAACATAGTTGCTATGTCACGAGCGTTCGGTCCGGCTTGGTTTGGCCGTCAAAAGCACCTTACACCTGGCAGATGTATCTTGAACTGTGTTTAAATCCGTAGAATAACATTATATATCCCTAAATATTACTTTGTGATGCCACATGTAAAGATAACTGGTCCGTTGAAATGAAACCCTTGTCTCTCCATTTTCAACATAGCCTCTATCAAAAGTGTTAAGTGTCTGTTTGGCCCGACTTGGCCCGGGCTGTCAAAGGCAGCTTAAATCTCACATATGTATCCTAAATTGTGTCTATGTCCATAGATTAGTATTATATCTCCCTAAATACCTCTTCATAGAGTCTCAAAGCGTAGTATTTGAAGCGAACTCGTTGCTCAAAGTAAGCTCTCTTTTCTATATATTCTAAAGAAAGACCGACTTGGCTCGGGCCTTCAAAAGCAACTTAAAGTCCACACATGTATATTGAATTGTGTTTACATCCATGGATTAGTATTATATCTACCTAGATATCACCTTGTGATGTTACAAAAGCCACATGTAAAGATAACTGGTCCGTTAAAGTGAAAACCTTGTCTACTTTCTGTATTGCAGTGTTTATTAAAGGATTCAACAGAGATCGGCGGTGTGCTAGTTTCTGCATTGCAGTTTTTATTAAAGGATTCAACAGAGATCGGCGGTGTGCTAGTTTCTGTATTGCAGTGTTTATTAAAGGATTCAACAGAGATCGGCGGTGTGCTAGTTTCTGTATTGCAGTGTTTATTAAAAGATTCAACAGAGATCGGCGGTGTTCTAGTTTCTGCATTGCAGTTTTTATTAAAGGATTCAACAGAGATCGGCGGTGTGCTAGTTTCTGTATTGCAGTGTTTATTAAAGGATTCAACAGAGATCGGCGGTGTTCTAGTTTCTGTATTGCAGTGTTTATTAAAGGATTCAACAGAGATCGGCGGTGTGCTAGTTTCTGTATTGCAGTGTTTATTAAATGATCCAACAAAGATCGGCGGTGTGCTAGTTTCTGTATTGCAGTGTTTATTAAAGGATTCAACAGAGATCGGCGGTGTGCTAGTTTCTGTATTGCAGTGTTTATTAAAGGATTCAACAAAGATCGGCGGTGTGCTAGTTTCTGTATTGCAGTGTTTATTAAATGATCCAACAAAGATCGGCGGTGTGCTAGTTTCTGTATTGCAGTGTTTATTAAATGATCCAACAAAGATCGGCGGTGTGCTAGTTTCTGTATTGCAGTTTTTATTAAACGATTCAGCAGAGGGCAGAGGTGTGCGTGTCACAACCATTCTTATATTTACAATTCAGTCAGGCGATGAAATTCAAAATTCCCGCGAATATATAAAATTTACAAGCGTCGATTCCATTAAACCCGATCTTCCGACAAGCATGGTTTACTGAAGACCAATTGAAACCCGTATGTTCACGGGTCCGTAATGACATATACACTGAAGGGAGGACAACTTCACATTCTGTGGAAACCCATGGGAATCCTCTTGTGCGAACAGACACACAATCGTGTATGGTCATTTGGACTTATAATACCCGACCTATTAAGCAGCATTCACTGGGTAAAGTCAGTTTGACTACATTCCCGTACACGTGGATCGTAGCCGAGGCCCAGCCTCGTACACCAAGAAACGATCACTTCAACTATCGACCTGTGTCTCGACTGACAGTGATAATCCACAGCAATATGTGAATTTGTCTTTTTCACACATCTGTAATCGCCATTCAATGATTGGCCATTTGATCAATGCTGACTAACAGTTGTAATCGTCACATGTTCATAACAAACCATGGCGTCCTGGTCAGTGATGTAGATGTATTATGACGCAGTGTGTCTGTCGCATTGGGGTCGTTCTTAACAGACCTCTGTCATCTGAGGGTGATGCTTTATCAATCGTTCGTTGTAACCAAACAACAAAATATGTAACTGTACATCATTTTGAGCCTGCATACGTTCATGTCCCCTTTCATACCAAGGAACTTTTTTATTCAGCAATACAACTGGTAGTTGTATGGCTGCCATGGTAACCATGAAGTCACACAAACTAAATGAAACTGCGGACACATGCTTCAAAGTCCATTCATTCAATTCTTTATTGCATGAAAGGCCATAGGCCCATATACAAAAGACATACATATTAACAATGGTATATATAATCAACTTTCTAAATAATCAATTATTTTCTTAACAAAAATGCATTGAAAATAAATATGGTTACTTGTGTTGTGTTGAATGTTCTTTGCAGGAAAGTAAGGAGGACGATAATTTAACGTTTATTTGAGATAAAAACAATTGTGGTAGCTAATTATTTCTTAGATTTTCATATACAGGACAAATAGACATATAATGGAATTAATCTTCAATAATGTCACAGAATGGACATAATCTTTGGGTCTTTTCAATAGAAAGCTATCTTCAACGGTTAATTACTAAATCATTAAGGCCTTATCTAACACGTATTAAAGCATTGCGAACATTTCTGTAACGCAGGTGAGCAAGAGAAGATCCTGGCTCAAGCAACGACTTAAATTGACAATATGAATCATATCTAGAACTTTCACTAATAGTTGAATGTCATCCCTACTTAAACATATCAGTAGCCAGAAGACTGCCAGAAGAGCTGCCTAATAAACATGTTTACATTGCCAACTGTCTGTGATAACCAAATACAACAAAAACATATCTAAATAGGAAGGTGCGAATATGAGATGTTCAATTACTCTTACCAAGATAATCAAGATGTACAAGCATATTGAAGGCTTTTTAGGTAAACGATGTTCAGGCATTTTAATCATTTTACACCAATATTTTTAACATCGACAATTAGATGATATGTGCAATGGAAACTTCCCACATTCACCATAAACCATAGCATTTGGTGTTGACAAACCAACATTTAGAAACTTTTTACAGGCAAGCAAATGAATTCTTTCTATGGTATAATACTCTTTAAAACCCATATTTCAGATCCATATAGTAAAATAGGTTTTATTTGAGAATCAAATACATATGTAATTTAAAATAAATAGTCGGTGGAATAACATTGAACACAGGAACAACAGAGTGAAGTTGTAAAAGAGCAGATTTATTCAGATTCAGCGTATGGGTAAACAATATGCCAAGGTATTTATAATCATTCACAACATTCATACGTTTAGCTTTAAAACAACCCAGTTCTCTCCAGCCGACAAAGGACCGCCTTTACGGAATATAACAGTGTTCGTTTTATCAAGATTAACAGAATGATCTGAAATATTGTTACAAGAGTTGACATTCATTTGGCGTGAGATCATTGGAGTTTGGAACTTTCATAGAGTAGGGCCAAACAAGCTCATGTAAACTGAAAGTCAATTCTTCAACTATATATATGAACTGTTGTATATTACTAAGGTATGGGAATAAAAACAACGATAAAGCATTACATACAATGCCATGACTTGAGAGAATAATGCATTATAAGTAGAACAAGACACAAAGTGTTGTATGATACAGTGCTATGCCGTGAGAGAATGAATGCATTATAAAGGACATTACACAAAGTGTTGTATGATACAGTGCTATGCCGTGAGAGATTAATGCATTATAAAGTACATTTTACACAAAGTGTTGTTTGATACAGTGCTATGTCGTGAGAGATTAATGCATTATAAAGTACATTTTACACAAAGTGTTGTATGATACAGTGCTATGTCGTGAGAGATTAATGCATTATAAAGGACATTACACAAAGTGTTGTATGATACAGTGCTATGTCGTGAGAGATTAATGCATTATAAAGGACATTACACAAAGTGTTGTATGATACAGTGCTATGCCGTGAGAGATTAATGCATTATAAAGTACATTTTACACAAAGTGTTGTATGATACAGTGCTTTGTCGGGAGAGATTAATGCATTATAAGAAGAACAAGACGCAAAGTGTTGTATGATACAGTGCTATACGTGAGAGAGTGTTGTATGATACAGTGTGCTATGCCGTGAGAGATGAATGCATTATAAAGGACATTACACAAAGTGTTGTATGATACAGTGCTATGTCGTGAGAAATGAATGCATTATAAAGGACATAACACAAAGTGTTGTATGATACAGTGCTATGCCGTGAGAGATTAATGCATTATAAAGTACATTTTACACAAAGTGTTGTATGATACAGTGCTATGTCGTGAGAGATTAATGCATTATAAAGGACATTACACAAAGTGTTGTATGATACAGTGCTATGTTGCAGGAGATTATTGCATTATGAAGTGGTAAACGATATTTATTGTCTTAATATACCACCTGATAAATCACTACATGATGAAGTGTCATGAGGAGGCTCTGAACTTTATTTCCATATAGTACATGTAGTATGTGGGTCAACCATAGCAATGGTATGTTCCACACTTGTTGTACGCCACATTTTGATGGCCTTCCTCTGAATACAAGGCCAGTCTCCATGAACGACAATGCTAGGCCACATCGCGCACGTGTTTTTGATGATTTCTTTCGTCAAGACCCGGTAGCAACTCGAATTTGGCTCGCCAGAAGTCCAGTTCTCAATCCCATAGAGTATGTTTGGTACATTTTGGGTCTCAGAATTCGCCAGAGAGATCCTCCAGTACAAAATCTTGATGTACTGGAACAAGCCTCCATCAAGAATGGAACGCAATACGTCAAAGTCAAATTCAACGTGTGATACAGTCAATGAGGAGGGCGGTCAGGGGTGTTATTGCAGTAAGTTACGGCAGATATTCACTTTGTCCTCGATCATTGATACTTTTGTGAGTACTTGAGGATTGTCTGCTAGATTCTTCAGTTGTATCATACGACCATAGTGATCAGCACTACAAAGGAAGTTATTTATTTTACCATGTTTGAACAAGTTTTTCTATGAGTATAGCAGCATTGTTTCACACCAACGTAGTTTGTTTCTTCTTTATACAAATGTTTCCTCTTTTCTGGTGTTCCTGTACCAACTATGTGGACTGCCAACAGATGATACCATATCGTGTTGCCCGTTTTTCCAACAAAACATATTCAGAACATCATTTCGGAATTTCTGTCCAGATGCACAGTAGAGAAAAAAGTTACTAGAGTGGTTCAGATGCATCAGCAGCTCGGAGATGGTGAAAAAGAGCTGGAATTTGGACATCTCCGCGTTGCTGTGGCCCCTGCTGTTGAGGAACACAGATGCTATGATGCTGATGTTCATGGGAAGCTTGCACAGCAAGAACGCGAAGGACACGCTGAGCAACATCCAGGTCAGGCAGAAGGACGTGTCCAGCGATGTTGCTTTCTGCTTTCTGAGGCAGACTTTTTGAAGAAGTGCTCTTTGTCTGGCTGTCCGTCGAACCTTTAAGATGATGAGAACATTGAAGATGCCGATGGTGAAGAATGGGAGCAGGCAGTATACGACAGCATCCACCCAGGGCCAGATGACGGTGATGAGATATTCATTGCCCACCACCGCACCACATACTTGATTAGGGTAGGACTCCTTCTCGTCAACCAGGCCAACCGTCCATAGAAAGTGGATGTTTAAACTCAGAAACAGGGCATACAATCCACCAATGATCTTTCTCGCAAGGGCAACGCTGTAAAGGCCGAGAACCTTCAATGGGTAATACACAACCAGAAACCTCTCTATGGTTACAGCAACCACTATCCACGTAGATATATTGCTGCAGAAGTAGCCCAACATTACCATGGTCTTACAAAGCCAGTTGGCCTGAAAACGGACATCAAAGCCTATTAGTTCACCAAGCCACCTAGGAAACAAGCCCACCAACAGAACCATGGTGTCGGCCACGGCCAGCGACGTCAAGAAGGTGTAGGTGGACGAGCGAGGGTTTCGCTTTTGACGCAGGATGAAGAAGGACATAAAGTTGCCACAGACGCCGAGGACAAGGAGTATGGGCGAAATGTACAACATCAATATCTTATGGGCACGGTACTCAGGGTATTTCAAAAGAGGTTTCAATGAGCCCCATGCGCCGTTCAAATCAAACAGTTCATTTAAAGTGTTGTTCCCCATGGCGTCAAGTAAACGCAGTTTATCCTCGCGAGGTAGGTTTTTAACCATGTCTAGCAGTGACAGCACCGAAATATTCAAGGAGGCGTCCATCTCGCTTGTCGAAACGAAATTGTCACCCAAACAGACTCTAGATCTGCAAAACAAATAGTCAATCTATAAAAGGTATTATCTATGAATCAAAACAAACAAATTGATATCGAATATGTTTTGTGATGTCATTATTCAGAGGAATATAATGGTCTGAGTGCTGATACAGTGAGTGATACAGTTGATTTATATCCCATTTAAAGAGTGATCCAAAAGGGAAGAAATCAAGAATAGCAACATTCCGAAACCAGAGTAAACTGATACAATCGTCTTTTCAATCACATACCTGAGTTATTCAGTGCGTGGCCTCACAGTGCTCGATTCGAGATAGCAAATGAAACGCATTCACACATTTGCCACACATAAGTAAACGGCAACTACATATTACCATGGTAACCGTGATATTTTCCGAGTCATGTGTTAAGATATATGGCTGAAGATAGTTCAACATGCTAATTGTCTAATGTATCTGAAGACACGTTCCCCACACGTGGTGTGTAGTGACCCACTGCACCCTGAAGAAATCAACATCTAGACGCGACGGGTAGTAAGGTCCGTGCATTCAGGTGACACATTTCGTAAAAGCATCCTTTGTCAAACTTTACAGATTGATGAAGATATTTCATTATGAATCATGGTGCAGTGAAAGACGTCGAACCTTATCAGTTCAGACTCCTACAGATCCTGCTGTTCATCTGAACCTCACTCCTACAGACCCTGCTGTTCATCTTTATCTGGCCCCTACAGATCCTGCCATTCATCTGGGTATGATTCCTGTAGATCCTGCTATTCATCTGGGTCTAGCTCTTACAGATACTGCTATTCATCTGGGTCTGATTCCTACAGATCCTGCTGTTCATCTCAATCTGACTCATGCAGATCCTGCTGTTCAACTGAATCTGACTCCTACAGATCCTGCTGTTCATTTGAATCGGACTCCTACAGATCCTGCTGTTCATCCGGATCTGACTCCTACAGATCCTGCTGTTGATCTGAATCGAACTCCTACAGATCCTGCTGTTCATCTGAATCCGACTCCTACAGATCCTGCTGTTCATCTGGGTCTAGCTCTTACAGATTCATCTGGATCTGACTCCTACAGATCCTGCTATTCATCTGAACCAAACCCTTACAGATCTTGCTATTCATCTGGGCCTGATTCCTACGGATCCTGCTATTCATCTGGATCTGACTCCCACAGATCCTGCTTTTCCTCTCAATCTGACTCCGACAGATCCTACTCTTTATCTGGATTTTGACTCCTACAGATCCTGCTGTTTTTCTGTATCTGACTCCTGCAGATCCTGTTGTTCATCTGAATCGGACTCCTACAGATCCTGCTGTTCATCTGAATCCGACTCCTACAGATCCTGCTGTTCATCTGAATCTGACTCCTGCAGATCCTCCCATTCGTCTGAATGTAACTACTACAGATCCCGCTGTACATCTCAATCTGACTCCTGCAAATCCTGCTGTTCAATTGAATCTGACTCCTACAGATCCTGCTGTTCATCTGAATCTGACTCCTGCAGATCCTCCTCGTCTGCTGTTCATCTGAATCGGACTCCTACATATCTTGCTGTTCATCTGAATCTACAGATCCTGCTGTACATCTCAATCTGACTCCTGCAAATCCTGCTGTTCAATGAATCTGACTCCTACAGGTCCTGCTATTCATCTGAATCGGACTCCTTCAGATCCTGCTGTTCATGTGAATCTGACCCTTGCATTTCCTCCCATTCATCTGAATCTGACTCCTACAGATTCTGCTATTCATCTGAATCTGAATACTGAAGATCCTGCTCTTCATGTAACTCGGACTCCTATAACTCTGACTCCTACAGATCCTCTTGTCCATCTGAATCTGACTCCTGCAGGTCCTCCCATTCATCTGAATGTAACTCCTACAGATCCCTCTGTTCATCTCAATTTGACTCCTGCCGATCCTGCTGTTCAACTGAATCTGACTCCTACAGATCCTGCTGTTCATCTGAATCGGACTCCTGCAGATCCTGTTCTTCATCTGAATCTGACTCCTACAGACCCTGCTGTTCATCGGAATCGGACTCCTACAGATCCTGCTATTCATCTGAATCGGACTACTGAAGATCCTGCTCTTCATGTAATTCTGACTCCCACAGATCCTGCTCTTCATGTAAGTCTGACTCCTACAGATCCTCTTGTCCATCTAGATCTGACTCCTGCAGGTCCTCCCATTCATCTGAATGTAACTCCTACAGATCCCTGTTCTGTTCCGACTCCTACTTGATCCTGCTGTTCGATCCTGCTGTTCAGATTCCTGAATCTGACTCCTACAGATCCTGCTGTTCATCTGAATCTGACTCCTACAGATCCTGCTGTTCATCTGAATCGGACTACTGAAGATCCTGCTCTCCATGTAATTCTGACTCCCACAGATCCTGTTGTCCATTTGAATCCGACTCCTTCAAATCCTGCTATTCATCTGTATCGGAATCCTACAGATCCTGCTGTTCATCTGAATCTGACCCTTGCATTTCCTCCCATTTATCTGAATCTAACTCCTACAGATCCTGCTCTTCATCTGTATCTGACTCCTACAGATCCTGCTGTTCATCTGAATCGGACCCCTGCAGATCTTCCCATTCAAATGAATCTAACTCTTACAGATCCCGCTGTTCATCTGAATTTGACTCCTGTCGATCCTGCTGTTCAACTGAATCTGACTCCTACATATCTTGCTGTTCATCTGAATCTGACTCCTGCAGATCCTGTTGTTCATCTGAATCTGACTCCTACAGATCCGTCTGTTCATCTCAATTTGACTCCTACAGATCCTGCTGTTCATCTGAATCTGACTCCTACAGATCCTGCTGTTCATCTGAATCTGACTCCTACAGATCCTGTTCTTCATCTGAATCTGACTCCTACAGATCCTGCTGTTCATCTGAATCGGACTACTGAAGATCCTGCTCTTCATGTAATTCTGACTCCCACAGATCCTGTTGTCCATTTGAATCTGACTCCTTCAAATCCTGCTATTCATCTGTATCGGAATCCTACAGATCCTGCTGTTCATGTGAATCTGACCCTTGCATTTCCTCCCATTTATCTGAATCTAACTCCTACAGATCCTGCTCTTCATCTGAATCTGACTCCTACAGATCCTGCTGTTCATCTGAATCGGACTACTGAAGATCTTCCCATTCAAATGAATCTAACTCTTACAGATCTGAATCTGACTCCTACAGATCCTGCTGTTCATCTGAATCGGACCCCTGCAGATCTTCCTATTCAAATGAATCTAACTCTTACAGATCCCGCTGTTCATTTGAATCGGACCCCTGCAGATCTTCCCATTCAAATGAATCTAACTCTTACAGATCCTGCTGTTCATCTGAATCGGAACCCTGCAGATCTTCCCATTCAAATGAATCTAACTCTTACAGATCTGAATCTGACTCCTACAGATCCTGTTGTCCATCTAAATCTGACTATACTAAAGAATTATACTAATGTACTTGATTATGTAACGTACTTTTATGATTATATATATATACAAAAATACTGTGCGGTAATTCCGCGCACCTAAGCACATCGATCGCAACACGACAATTAACGTCTCTTATTATTTGTGGTTTACGTGACTAAACATGCTGGTATGCATCATATTTACCTAGAAATATAAGTTTTATTGACAACTATAATATTCTAACGTTGCATTATGCCATACAGTTGACCTTACCGGCGTGATTTGTTCTAACGACATAAAAGTTTACTTAAAATACCACCAAGAAATGGCGAAACTTATGCATTGCAGAATTTAAAGCAATAAATGTTAGCACTACTTTTTATGTGCTTGTTTTCTATGACGTAATGGTGTCACTCGTTCCCTCTTCCATCACTCTTGTTCACTATATTCATACGAAGTCTTCAAATGAACTTCATACAGGTGACGTTTCGTATTTTATTTCTCTTGAACGAGAAATTAAGTATGGTATTGGATCATAAATAGAATCTCACTCTCTTGTCTTTTGATATGAAATATATCACATCTCGTTGATAAAAGTTGTTTATCAACTCGTGGTGATATATTTGATATCAATGATACTAGGGTGACATTCTCTGTATATGCATCATTTCCTCCTACGCGAAGCGAACGCACCTTGAAATTGAAATACGATTCAAAGCAGAGATCTACCCAATCCCTTATGACCGAAACATCAAACTGTTCATCCTCGCTCATGTTGCCATGACTACATTAACACTGAACCTTTTTTAATACATCTATACAACTAACTGAAAATCCTTCCTCATATGACGTCACTGCAGTACTCTGGCGACAGAGTTACGTAACCTGTCTGTGGTTTCGTTGGCGGGCGAGAGTGAAGCAGGCGACTTTTGGCAACTTTTAATCGCTCGGTACTAATTAACCACAAGTTTTTAAAGAATGATCTTGGAGTTCCGCAGAAGACTGACCACAAATCTTTCATATGTAATAGTTAAAAGAGTAACCAAAAATAAAGTTTATTTGTTCTTTAACAAAGCATCAAACTGTTGATCCTCGCTCATGTTGCCATGACTACATTAACACTGAACCTTTTTTAATACATTAACACCACAAGAGAAGTCTGCAGACACACCTGCATCCTCCTGCTGAGTGTATATTATCACCTATATATGTGTTATTTAACCCTATATTCTGACCCGGGTTCAATTCCCCACATGGGTACACTGTGTGAAGCCCATTTCTGGTGTCCCCACCGTGATGGTGCTGGAATATTGCTAAAAGTGGCGTAAAACTTATATCACTCACTCACCATATATATTAATGAAATGGGTGAAAGGAGGTCAACTCACCAAATTCAACAATATTCTCTGTAAATATACGTATAACTTGTGCTCCCCATATACACTTATTTTAAGCTATAACG